GACAGTCCTTGAACACATCATGTGCAATGAGGGCTTCTGTCAATAAATAAATAAATAAATATCAAATCTGAGCCTAAAATAGTGATATTTCATCAAAATCATTTTATTCTACGTTTCATTTTAAATTTGGCAACAATTTAACCATTTGCACAAACTAACCAACATGCACAACAAAAGTGAAAAACCAAGGCTTTTTTCCAGCTTCTCCGGGGAAGGTCAAATTACAAAAGAAAAGTCACACCTCAGCCACCCCCTTCCTCTGATAAGTAAAGAACAGTCCATAGATAATGTAGATGTAGTTAAAGACATTCAACATAATGTGTATGAACAGTCTGAAGAGAAGAAATGAATGACCAACCTGTAACCCTACCAACCACCCAACAGAGACTGACAACCACTGACCTGAGACAGCCCAGAGGGCTTCTTCCACCTGCTCAGCATGCTGGGTAATGTTGTAGATTACTACATCACAGTCCATCAGTTTTGAAAGTAGTTCATCTCTGTTCAGTTGCTTTCATACAAACAGGAAATAAAAGGAGACATGTCAGAAGTCATTGATTTGAACTTTATCTTAAAGGGGAACACCTCCTAGGAATTCCAATATGTTATTTCAATGGCCAAAGAAAGTTAAATCAATATAAGCAAACATAAATTACTCTCCCTGCGATGGCATAGTATACAATCTGGACCTGCTCCATAGACAATGAATGTTTGTTTTCCTTTTTATACCCAAATGAGCTTCATTCTATTGTAGTGTTCTCAGTCCTGAAACAGAAAATGTATCCAAATAGTCAGAACATTCCCCTAGCTGCTCTGTGTCATCTACAACATATTTCACTATTCATTGTCTGTGGAGCAGCTCCAGACTTTACATCCTGTAACAATGGTTCCCAACTGGTCCAGCAACGAGGTCCATATTTCTCCTTAGTCATTAGTTTAAGGTCCACACAGTTAAATATATTCAGCTGTGTCATACTTTTGTTTGGCCATGTCATCAAACTAATTTGCTGTCTCTAATAAGTAGCTGTCCATTATTGGCTGACTCAACACCAGGGAACAGCGTTTCAAAATAAAAGCTTAGATTGAGAAATTTGCTGTAGGCCCTACTTCAAAATAAAGACATTAAAACTAGTAAAGGAAGTGTCAGACTACATACTGGAACCTCTCACCCATATTCTAGGCCGATCCTTTGGCAACCGGTGTTGTTCCCAAAGAGCTAAAAAAAGCAAAAATTGTACCATTGTTTAAAACTGGTGATCAAAGCAATTTCACAAACTATCGACCTATATCCATTTTACCTTGTTTTTCAAAAATCCTTGAGAAGTTAATTTACAGTAGAGTATTAAAACATTTACAAGAAAATAATATCTTATACGAACATCAAAATGGATTTAGAAAGCACAGTTCTACTTATATGGCACTTTTACAGCTCATAGATAACATACAGGCAGCTACTGATATTAACAACTATTGTCTAGGTATTTTTTTAGACTTATCAAAAGCATTGATACCGTTAATCATGATATTTTGTTTGCTAAATTACAATTTTATGGTTTTCAAGATGACACACTGAAGTGGCTAATTAGTTACATGGGCGAGAGAGAAGTATGTAGTAATGAATGGTTGTGCATCTACCACTGTTAATATAACGTGGATTACCACAAGGATCTGCATTAGGACCTTTATTATTCCTTATTTACATTAATGTCTTTTCATCAGCTTGTAAAGCTTCACTACCTATTTTGTTTGCTGGTGATATGAACATGATTTTATCACACAGTGACCTACACACCCAAATAAACAACACAAATGCAAGATGGTTTAAAATTAATAAGCTCTCATTAAATGTCAAAAAGTCCAATTTTATAATCTTTGTAGGTAGAGGTAAGAGATATCAGAGGGATCATGCTGGAGTTTCAATAGAGGGAAATAAAATTTCTCAAGTCTCTTACATTCAATTCTTGGGGATCCAAGTGGATGAGAATTTGAATTGGAAAAAAACATATTAATTTCATTCATACAAAAATTGTGAAGTCACTTGGGATCATCAGCAAACTTCGGAGGTTTATAAATGCATCTTGTTTACTGACCTTATATTATACCATGATTTATCCTTATTTAATTTATGGTAATATTGTTCGGGCGAACACTTACCCCTCCAAACCTTCATAAACTTTACTTGCAGCAGAAGTGTTTTGTACGATTGTCAACTTTTTCTAACAACAGATCCCTCTGCCCCTCTCTTCAAAAAACTGAATATCATGTCTGTGTACAACATCAATATTCATCAGATATGTGTTTTTATATATAAATACATGTTTTCACCCTGTTCTTTACCATCTTCTTTTTAAAAAAAAATTTCATGTTAAATTCCCAATTTCATTCTTATACTGCTAGACAGGTTGATTATCTTCATCTTCCTTTTTATAAAACAAAACACGACCAGTTTTCCCTCAGATATCATGGTGTGCAAATATGGAATGCTGAAAGACATATTGTTATGAGCTCATCATCTTTAAAACATTTTTAAAAGGAAGTGGTCATTTCACCTAATTCATGAAGTTTATTTGTGTATGCCTCTTTTGACTTTTGAGAAAGGTGAGGTCCCTCGTATAAGCCTGTTGGCTTCTTGACCTCTCCTGACACATTTATTTTTATCCTTTAATTTGGTTTTCTTTTAAATCTCTTATGTGTACAAAATAAAATAAAATAAACCATCTGTGCGTCACTTGCGGTCCATTCAGAATGGACCCACGACCCACTTTTGGACCATGACTCAACAGTCGGTAGCTAATGCCCTATGACATCATGAGTTTCAGCACTCTAGATTTTGGACCTGGGAGAGTTGCTCATGTTTACAAATATTTTGGGATATTTTAAACCATAGGAATAACGTACAAATTCTGAAAATGGATATAGTGCCCCTTTAAGTAGATTAATAATGTTAATTTGCAGTGGCTAACTCACAGTATCATTATACAGTTACTGCACAGCCTTTTGTCGAGCACTTACGAAATACTCCTCCAGGACATACGGTCTGTCCTCATCACATCTGTCAGAGACAGTTCCAACAATGTGAAAAGCTCGTGCTCTGCTGTGGGTCACTACTGTGTCCTCCATACTGTCCACCTGTCCATCAGGATCAACAGTTGCCCCAACCACACATTCACACAAAAACTGCAAACGACAAACATGGAGACGTCAGTTATGTTGCTGACCAAAGCTGCTCACTAGCATGTGCAAAATCTAGGCTACCTCAATTTCCTGCTATGTTAACTGTTAAGCTACAAACCTTCCAATGACTGGTAGCCTAATTAACGTTACTAACTTACTCACATTAACACTAACACAGCTGCTACTGAATTCTGACATTTCACAGTGAAATATATTTACCTTGGCGATACATTTAGAAGCGTATGAGTCGATGTTGTTGATAAAAACTCTTTTAGGTGGGTGTCTGAGTTTCTCTATCCTCGTCTCCGCCATTGTAGCCCGTATACAACCTTTAGCAAGTGCAGTTGGTGCCCCGTTGCCATGGAGCTGGCCCTCTCGCGCAAAACACCTGCCGATAAGCGAAGCTTCTCCGCTCGACAGCATCCGGAAGTGCAGAGATCTCAAACAAACTGCCCGGCAGATTTAAAGCAAAATGACAATTTAAAATCTGTTTCTGGGTCGTCCAGTAGGGTAGGGCAGGCATCCCATAGCCTACACAAAGGCAATATCCTTGCCGCAGCGGCTGTTGGTTCGATCCCAGCCTGCAGCCCCTCGCTGCATATGTCACTCCCCTCTCTCCCCCTTCATGCTGAAGTACTATACTCTCAAATAACAATCTTAAAAAAATCTATTACTGTCGGGTAGAGGTGGAAACACTAACAGACATCGTGTGAAATATGTATGTCTCCATGTAGCATCAATTTATCACAGTCAGGGATGGGCAAAAATACATCAAAATGTATTTTGATACAAAATATAGAATACCCCTCAAATAAATGTATCAAAATAAAATAGGCTACAAAACACTGGTGCCAGCAAATGTATCAGAATAAAATACATGTATTTTGTATTTTCAAAATACTTGTTTTCTTTTTCTTTTTAGCAGCTCCCACAACTCTATAGGTCACTCTGTTGGTCGGTCGGTCCACAAAGCTTTTCGTGAATAACTCAAAAAGTCCTATCATCACCATGATACAGTAGCCAGACCCAAACATAAATCATGCATCAAGCCAGTTGACATCTGTCACACAAACTGTCTTTTCTTGAGAAAGGTCTGGTGAGTGAGACTAGTCACACTCAGATAAAATATTTACCTTGACAGACAATCTGTTGAACTTGGAAGAAGTGAGCAGCAAGGTAGTCTACTGGTAGTGTGGGTCCATCCACGTGAGCAGCATGCCTGGCAAGTCAAGTCTAGTCTAGCTGTGCTGTGAACTGTCCACCAACGGTCTAGCTAAACAGCAGCAAGATACTGTAGCTACTGTAGCTAGTTAACTTGTTTGCTGTCTAACTCGGAGCCTTTGGAGCCCTGTGTTCAACTTTTAAAGAGAAAAAAAGCTAGGGATATGTAGGGTAGCCTAAAATATTATTTATTCATTCAGATTTAGATTCGACAACTTTATTGATCCCACGAGGCAATTCATTTGTAGCATACTCATCCCAAGCATCAACCACAACATACAATTTTCTATGTTATGCACAGTCCAGTAAAACAGACCACTAGGTCATTGAATGGCAAGTTTAAAAAAAACATATAGATAAAATATTGTTACATCCAATATTACAAGAATTTGTAGCCTATTATTTTTTTTGATTCGTGGAGAAAGTATTTTGAGTATTTAATATACAAAATTACTCCACTCAAAAGTATTTTGTTACAAATTACATTTGCTTTTTATCGGCCTTATCAAATACAAATTACAAAATACTCAAATGTAACTGAAATACGTATTTTAAATACAAGTAATAGAAATACTGCCCATCCCTGATCACAGTAATGCACATAATGCAGGGCTGTCAAACTAATTTTATTCCATGAGCCATATTACAGCCAAAGATAATCTGCAGTGGGTCGCAATTGAGATCATTCCATAATAATCTTTAAATAACAACATCTCAAGATGTCTCCCTTTCTTTTAGTGTACATAAGTATAAAATGTCCATCCATGTATAGAACTAATGATGAACACCCTGAGATCTCGAGAAAAATTTCAACACTGTATCTCAATTGTTCCACATTCAGTCAGTCTATCACTCACTGTCATCACATATGCATCTTCACATACATTTTTCCTCCTGTGTAGTCATACTGGCATCACCAAACTGTGGAAGCTATTGAGGAAGCAGGTTCAATTATCCCGACTTACAAACCTATTAGCCTTCACAAGTGCACCGATGTTAGGTGTGCAAAGTCATCCAGTGGACAGGACCGGACCCTTTGGTGGGCTGGTTCTGGCTGTATGTTTGACACCCGTCATAAAAAATTTAACTTTAATCCACCATTTGCATCAATGCAAAGCAGCCTTACCAGAGTCTTGGGTACTGAAGACTATATCCCAGCATGAACCCTACACACAGGTCCCAGATCCATTATCTATCTTAACCACAGGCTTCATGTACAATCTATGATTTTAATAAACAAGACCTGGCCACAGTTTGATGTGATGTAGACTCAAGGACACCCTTGATTCTCTTATGGCCATATCAGTGTACTTGGCCTCAGTTAGGGAGCATGATTGTGAAGGTTCTACCCTGCACTCCAACAAATGTTCACAATTTCATCAGATAGAGTACCTAGGTTAGTGAATGTTGAAGCCAAATTAACTCCTTTTGTGCCCAAGACTTTTAATAACTTCACAGAAAAAACAATCTGATCATTTAGCACACCTAAGTATTAATAAATTAATCACAATATTCAGTGCACAGTGTAAAGCATTATTTCACAGTGGAATCAATATTCTGCTGCCACAGCAAAGTTATCAAACTGAGCCAGTTCAAAGGAGTGTGTCCCTATAGCAGCCCAGCCATTCTTTGGTGTCAGTACTACAGCATTCTTCCACAGCAGGTATCCATTAAGCAGCCCTGATGCATACTGACCCTGCAGGAGAGAGGGAGCACAGTGACACATTTACTGCACAAACTTAGACAGTGTATCTCTTTATCTGCTAGCTCATCCTGACAGTCAGTCACATGCATGTGGCTGAGAGGTTCAGTTACCTTGTGATTACATTGTAACCAACATTAACAACCATTACTACAGGTGCACTCAGCTCCTACAGAGAAACACCTGAGTCAGTCTATGGAGATTAAGCAAGATTGTTTACTAAGAAACATGTTTATGTTTCCTTATTAATGGGACTTTATTGCATCCTGCTCAATAAACCAAGGCTCTCAGCTGTCTATATAACCTTTAACTTTCTACAACACTCTCATGTTGGACTACAACTATTATTTTTATTGTCAGTAAATCTGCTGATAGTAAAAAGGCTGCTATGTGAAATTCTGATCTAATCAAATTATATCTAATCTTATCTCAATGTCCTGAACTGCAGAGTATTTCCATTCAGTTAAGCTGCTATTCTGTCTGGGTTCCATAGCTCATCATATCAACTTGCCAAAAGCCATAGATTTGAATAGGACAAATAACAGACTTGTCAGTAAAAATCCTTTCCAGACATTAAAAACCTTATGTCTACACTTACATGCACAGTGAGTGATAAGGTGTGCCAACCATATGCTCGGATACCAGACTGTCCCTCTGCGAGTACAGATTGTCCAGCTGTTGACAAAAGAAGAGAACAAATCAGTCTGGCACAGTGATCAGGGGTACAGCAATAACACCTAACTGACCATGGAAAAAACACATTGCTGGTTTGGTCTTTTTATGGGATTTGTGGCAAATAAAAAACATACATTATCGCCTGCCTTATTCTTTAAATGTCACAATGGCACTTCTCCCTTTACATATTTCTTCATTTTTGGTCTCCATAATAACAAATGTCTTGATGAAGAGGGTGATACTACTGACCAAGGTCATTGGTAACTTTGTATGTGCCATCTGCAAACACCCAGTAGAAGACTCCCTTAGCGCTGCGGATTGACTGGCCTCCTTTATCCACCCTGGCTGCTATGAACACACCACCAGTCTTAATGCTCTCCATGAAGACATCACATGTAAGTGTCAGGTTCTGCCTGGAGAAACAACAGGGTGTTAGGTTGAATAGATAGCTGGCACACACCTGGACTTTAGAACAGTTAAGTTAGTATAGGTATGTGCCAAGTTATATTCTCTTAGTGGGACACCAGTGCTGAAAGTGAACACTATGAGGTACTTTAAGGTACCATCACCTCACCACTGATAGTCGCCTATGACACTGATGGTCTGGTCGGCATCAGTCGCCCATGTGATGGGTCTCTCAGTCAGAACCTGTCGTAAGGTGAAGACGTGAGGTCCAGGGTCAGTCATGTTGATATAGTATTCAAACACTCCCGTCTGGTCAGCAAAGTATGGAGCCTCTGAAAAAGGAGGGTCTCCTACAGAGGGTCAGATACAGAAATGGAGAAGATGGACTTTATTAATCCTCTAGGGGAAATTCAATGTTTTCACTCTAGGGCTGGGCGATATGGCCTAAAAAAAAAAAAAAATCTCTGATTTTTTTCATAACAAATCCGATCCCCGCCCCCCCATAAAGACCAAGTTAAAGCCTCAGTGTGTAAAAATGGTGAGTAACAGTGACATCAGCGGTCAAATTCTAGATTGCAGGGCTCACTCGCGCTCACTTGCTCACCCCTTCCGTCGGGTAAGTGACGGTGGCCTTGTAGGACAGAAAGCCTAGCGTAGACAGAGATGGCATCATCCACGAGTTTTTCAAGTTTTTCCAGGAGTAGGCCTATCTAGCGATGAGGAGAATATTTATTTAGGAATCTAAACCATGCTTAATGGCATGTTTGGGATTGAATGAGTATAGGTAGGGGGGCAGGGTGCGAGTGTGACGGGGATGAGAACTGTGTGAGTGCGGGTGCTGGTGTGTGTATGAGCGAGCTGGAGGAGAGAGCAGGAGTGCACAGTTGGAGTTACAGCTAAGTTCTTGTTTGTTGGTTGTTTTGGCATGATTAACTGTACTGTTCAGTAATAAACAGTGGTTTGCCGAACAACTGCGTCATCCTTTCCACACATCCTGGCGGACGCTACAATATGTTATAGCTTACCAGTGACATATAGGTTATCTGTGAGATATAACGTTAAGTTAGGAGTGTTTTATCTCTAATTGTTTGGTAACACGAGCAAACATTAGCACAGTAATGCTAAAATAACATGTTTTATGTGATAGCCATGGCACAGTGCGGCAAATATAGGTTGGTACGATTATAATATATGCGTCTCCAGAGTGTTCTTCCACAGGAGTTGTTTCCACCTGGAATAAGCAACGCTGATATCCACTCGCGTTTTGTCCCGTCCTCGCTTATCTGATCTTCTTCTTTTATTTGATGGCGTGGTTTCCCTCTTACGGGGCAAAACATGTGTGTGGTCCTCCATTTAAAGTGCGACAGAATCATAAAAGTACAAAGCAGGTTCACGCAGAAACGCCCCGGATTGATCTTCACCTTAACCGTCTCCAGTGACGGCAAGTTCAAGGTAAAAGCGAAAGGCGAAGCGCGTATATCCCTTTCGGCCACTGTATTCAAATATGGCGACGCAAGAGGGCATCCTCCAGCATACCGAGCCCTGCCTGTGTATATATAGAGAAATCATTCTAAGCCTATAAGAAAGCTTCCATTTGTATGTGAATTGCATTACACTTTAGTAAATATATATTTATGAAAGCAATAGTTGGTATTTGCTAATAAACAACCACGTAAATTACACATTGTAACTTTAATTTTATTTAATTTTATTTTCTATATAGCGCCAGATCACAACAGAGGTCATTTAAAGTTACCTTTCCTATAGAACAGGTCTATACCCTGTCCTTTTATTAAACAAACTCAATAGCCTTATGTTATTTATCTTATTTACACAATGGCATGTCATTTCTGTCTCTACATGGTGCACGTTTACAATCCTCCTCCCTTCTCTGTGTCGCGCACAGTGGAGTTCGGCCACGATGCGTGCGCATGCGCGCACACACACACACAAACACACACACACACACACAAATTTTAAGCAGTAATTTTTGTAAGTCAGTGTCATTTTGAGCATAAGATTTGACTTTTATTAAAATGAGAGACCTAAGTTTTCCAGGTTGATATTTGGTGTAATGTCTGTGGTCTACTTGAACTTGCATGGTCATGCAGGTTTGGGTGACATTTCCTGCAAATCTTGCATCTTAAATCATTCATTTTAACTTCAATAATGTTCACAGGAGCCAGACACTTTATTCACATCCATGAAGGAGTGTGTACGTCGCTGCATCATATTCAAGCGGGGACCTGTGTCGTTTTGTACAAGCAAAGAGGGGACTCGAGTCAATATGTAAAATCTATCTTTTTTGTTATAGAGTCAGACTTCAAAACAAGATTCCATACATGAAGTCTTCTTTAAAGGTCTGCATCCTGATTAAGGTTAACTCCATCGAGACACTGAATATTTCAGCACCCTATGAGGTCTTTTTATGATGGATCTGAGAGAGGCATTAGCAGTTAGTGTAAATATCACATTTTTGCCTACAATATGGGATCTGTGATTCATATCCAAATAGATTAGTTTTTCCCTTCAAGATAGATTCATGCAATGCAAGATTTCTACATAATGTGTATTTTCCAGAAAATTTGTTGTATACACAATTCATACAAATACAAACATACAAATACAAAACAAAGTGTATTCCTATAAATACAGCTTTTTTAAGTCTTCCTTTCTTCAGATTTTTAAGTACTTATTCTATTATCCTATAGGTTTGGGTTAAGCACAAAGTCACTTTCAAAAAATGACTTAATTGACATCCAGTGCTTGTGAAACGTAGGAAGAGGAAGGTTTTCCTTTTTGACTGAGAAGTTTTATAGGTCCACTCTGATGTCCACTTAAAGTCTGATAAAAGTTATACTAGTTGTTTTCTTTATTCTGTTCATTATTCTGCTGCTCTCTAGATGGCCCTTCAGTTTAATATAGTCTAAAGCTTGAAATCAGCTAGTAAAGAATATTCACCAAAGTTGGGCCTTCATGATTTGTTACAAAAATAAAACATATCATGGTTCAAGAGGGTATTATGTTGAGAATTTTATTTCTTTCTCATACAGTACAGGCCAAAAGTTTGGACACACCTTCTCATTCAATGCGTTTTCTTTATTTTCATGACTATTTACATTGTAGATTCTCACTGAAGGCATCAAAACTATGAATGAACACATGTGGAGTTATGTACTTAACAAAAAAAGGTGAAATAACTGAAAACATGTTTTATATTCTAGTTTCTTCAAAATAGCCACCCTTTGCTCTGATTACTGCTTTGCACACTCTTGGCATTCTCTCCATGAGCTTCAAGAGGTAGTCACCTGAAATGGTTTCCACTTCACAGGTGTGCCTTATCAGGGTTAATTAGTGGAATTTCTTGCTTTATCAATGGGGTTGGGACCATCAGTTGTGTTGTGCAGAAGTCAGGTTAATACACAGCCGACAGCCCTATTGGACAACTGTTAAAATTCATATTATGGCAAGAACCAATCAGCTAACTAAAGAAAAACGAGTGGCCATCATTACTTTAAGAAATGAAGGTCAGTCAGTCCGGAAAATTGCAAAAACTTTAAATGTGTCCCCAAGTGGAGTCGCAAAAACCATCAAGCGCTACAACGAAACTGGCACACATGAGGACCGACCCAGGAAAGGAAGACCAAGAGTCACCTCTGCTTCTGAGGATAAGTTCATCCGAGTCACCAGCCTCAGAAATCGCAAGTTAACAGCAGCTCAGATCAGAGACCAGATGAATGCCACACAGAGTTCTAGCAGCAGACCCATCTCTAGAACAACTGTTAAGAGGAGACTGCGCCAATCAGGCCTTCATGGTCAAATAGCTGCTAGGAAACCACTGCTAAGGAGAGGCAACAAGCAGAAGAGATTTGTTTGGGCCAAGAAACACAAGGAATGGACATTAGACCAGTGGAAATCTGTGCTTTGGTCTGATGAGTCCAAATTTGAGATCTTTGGTTCCAACCGCCGTGTCTTTGTGAGACGCAGAAAAGGTGAACGGATGGATTCCACATGCCTGGTTCCCACTGTGAAGCATGGAGGAGGAGGTGTGATGGTGTGGGGGTGTTTTGCTGGTGACACTGTTGGGGATTTATTCAAAATTGAAGGCACACTGAACCAGCATGGCTACCACAGCATCCTGCAGCGACATGCCATCCCATCCGGTTTGCGTTTAGTTGGACGATCATTTATTTTTCAACAGGACAATGACCCCAAACACACCTCCAGGCTGTGTAAGGGCTATTTGACCAAGAAGGAGAGTGATGGAGTGCTGCGGCAGATGACCTGGCCTCCACAGTCACCGGACCTGAACCCAATCGAGATGGTTTGGGGTGAGCTGGACCGCAGAGTGAAGGCAAAGGGGCCAACAAGTGCTAAACACCTCTGGGAACTCCTTCAAGACTGTTGGAAAACCATTTCAGGTGACTACCTCTTGAAGCTCATGGAGAGAATGCCAAGAGTGTGCAAAGCAGTAATCAGAGCAAAGGGTGGCTATTTTGAAGAAACTAGAATATAAAACATGTTTTCAGTTATTTCACCTTTTTTTGTTAAGTACATAACTCCACATGTGTTCATTCATAGTTTTGATGCCTTCAGTGAGAATCTACAATGTAAATAGTCATGAAAATAAAGAAAACGCATTGAATGAGAAGGTGTGTCCAAACTTTTGGCCTGTACTGTAAGTATTGTTAATTTGACTTGACTTTTTAATTCATCCATGCAGGAGTGTGATTATCGCTCTATGCTATCCAAGAGGGAACTTGTGTCATTCTGTGCCAGCAAATAGTGGACTTGTTGTGGACCTGTTGTTTCATAAAGTATAATCCTATATGTACAAAACAAAGTGTATTCTTATAAATACTGCTTTAAAAAAAATCTTTCCTTTCTTTTGATTTTTTAGTATTTATTCTGTTATCCTGTGGTTGTAGGTCAGCACAAAGTCACTTTCAGTAATTGAGTTGATTGACATCCAGTGTCTTGGGAAAACTAGGAAGAGGAGGGCTTTACTTTTTGACTGACAAGTTTTAAATGTCCACTCTGATGTCCACTAAAAGTCTGATAAAAAGTAGGGATGCACCAAATATTCAGTAACCGAATACATTCGGCCGAATATTGCAAAAAAACACACATTCGGTATTCGGTGGAATAAGTTAAAAGCAAGGCCGAATAACAGCGGCATGTTTTGATAACGCAATCAAACAGCGTGCCTTGACGGGCGGAGTAAAATGTCAGCAGTGTGGCGATCTGCCCGTCACCACACTCGCATTTGCGACTAAAAATAGTTTTGAGCGAGCAAAATAGGCTTAAATCATTCAGCACGCTGTGCGAGCAGCCTACAGATTTCAACCAGCAGCAGAAACGAAAGGCGAATCCCACCGATTGTGGGTTGAACGGGGGTCACAGACACAGACAGTAATGCATTCCTGTCAATTATGGCGGCCATCGGCTTACCGGGCGACGGAGAAGTCGGCTCCAATAATATCCTCTTCTTGGTGTGTGGACTGCCCAGAAGTACCTGAACAGCTGAGCCAACCGAACACAGACCGTACGTGATGTGTCAGAGGAGAAACGAGCCGTTCATGGCCCACAAACATCACCGCACTTTAGGGACTGTTTGTTACTTATGAAGGGACTTGTCAGGGGAGGAGGGTGGCTGGTTGATTTTTATTTTATTTATTTATTTTATTTTGATCCCCCCTATGTTCATCACTTATTGATGCTGTTTTTGAAGTATGAATAAGTCAATAAGTAATTTATTCCATTGAAATATCACTGATGTATTATAGAAAAGTGATTTATCTTTTTATAAATGACAAAAGGCACATTGCCTCATTTTTGCTGTGGTATCCTGATACTACTCAGAACCATAATATTTTCATTGGTATCATACAGTGGGTCCTAATTTTGGTACCGTGACAACACTAATCTGGAGGGGGTTCATCTGCAAAAACTAATGAAAAACTAAACAACGATATTTGGTATTCAGTACTCGGTATTCGGCCAAGCACTTAATATTATTTGGCTTCGGCCACAAATTTTGATTTCGGTGCATCCCTAAAAAAAAGTCTGAAGCCTGGCTATTTTATTTCTATCATTATTGTGGTTGTTGTTTTCCTTTGTTTTTTAAAAATTGTTAACTATTCTGCTGTCCTCTGGATGCCCCTTTATTTTAATATCATCCAAAGCATGAAAGTAGTTAGTAAACAAATTCACCAAAGTTGGGCCTTAATGATTTGTTACAAAATTAAAACATATCATGGTTCAAGAGGGTATTATGTAGAGATTTTTATATCTTTCTCATAAGTATTGCTACTCTGACTAATTTCTTTAATTCATCCATGCTGGAGTGTGATTATCGCTCTATGCTATCCAAGAGGGAACTTGTGTCATTCTTTGCCAGCAAATAGTGGACTTGTGTTGTTTCATAAAGTATAATCCTATGTGTGTAGAGTGAGCACAAAATTAGATTACATTCTTTTTTAGTTTTTAGTTTTATACCACTGAATAGTTAGTAATTATTGAAAATAATGTAAAGTGGTGTACAAATGTATTGAAAAAATTAATGACATTGAGTGCCTGTGAAAACGAGGTCAGGTGAGTATTTTTGGACTAAACTTCACAGGTGTAGTCAAAGTGTGATGTCAAATTAGTTTTTAGTTATTAATTAAAAGTGAAAGGAAAGGATTACTGCTGACCATTTCATACATAATTGTTTTTTGTTTTGTTTTGTTTTTTCTATTTTTCATCCTTTTTAGATTCATAAATATTGTGCTGCCTTTTGGGTAGCCCTTTATTTTAATAGTGTTGAGCATAAAACTTCCACCAAAGCTTAGCCTTTATATTTTGTTACAAAAACATAATGTAAAAAATCATGTTTCAGGGGACTAGTTGCTTCACCAAGTTGGCAGTTTAATAGGCCATTTACATACGAATAGACTTTCGGTGGCTGCAAGCCATTCACACTATGGGGAGTGTTAAAAAGCAATGTGTGTGACTGAGGCGTTAAAATCCTGGCTCCAGCCAGCAGAGGCACTGCTGAGTATGCACTTAAACACTCACACACCTTCAGGTCCCCTCTTGGCAAAATTTAAAAAAAATTCGCCAGAGGAGTTTAGACATGATTTTATCATGATTTAAAGCATGACCAAGAGGGGACTTAAAAATTGTCCCGTTGACCGTCAAGTCCCCTGTTTGTGAGTGTGTAACGACGTGGAAGTCCACTGTTAGATATGTTCCTTAAGAGCACAGACACAGGTGAGCACACACACACACAGACACAGGTGAGCACACAAGAGCGCTGAAGAACTCGTTCCCTTTCTTGGGGGAGGGCTTAGCCCACTCTGAACTACGGGAGCCCAGCGGGGAGCGTCAGTGGCGGATTTTAAAGAGAAACTCCATTTTCATTAAAACAAATCAACCTAAACTACAAATTCGAATTAATCAATAAAATTGATCTATCGCCCAGCCCTATTTCACTCTGTTTTGATGTACACACAAGCCCGAAATCCTTGACGGTGAAGTGGCACCTCTCCCACTACTAGTCCACACTCCATACTTGGTCTGATGGGGACTTGAACCGGTGACCCTCCCGTTCCCAACCCAAGTCCCCATGGACTGAGCTACTGCCACCCCACAGCATTTTGTAATTTAATGCTTCTACAAAATCAGTACAGAGTACATGTGGAAATACAAGAATTACATAAAGATGATAACAAAAGCAACTTTGAGAAAGCTCGTGGTTTCCACTATGGCCCTGTCTTATCATTTAATGACTTTTTTGGGACTTTTCATCGACTGATTTCTGTATGAAACCTTGCAACATGAGTTAAATTATTTCATTATTAATAACATTTTCCGAAAGGGTTTATTTCTCTGGTTTAATCATTTTCTTGTCTGGTAAACACCTCTCAGAATTGTGTATTATTTCAAGAATTCAATGACCAAACTTGTAAATAATGTGGGTTCTGTGCATGCCACACTTACGAACATTGAAGTTGTCCTTGTAGACTTTGGGGAAGCGGGTAGAGGGAGGCGGGTCAGGGTAACTGCCCTTCTGTCCTGTTGACATCGTGGTTAATGTGTACACCTCATCTTCAGCCAGGTTTAAGGTGAATGATCCATTCAAAACCTGAAATCATCACAAACACATAAAATAAGTAAATGATAATCCTGAAGAATCTTTCCACTTGAATCTTTTAAAACTGCCTCTTTTACCTTTAGTGGAGTTAGTTTCTCAAAGAAGGAGGGCTTTTTTGTTTTGAAGTTAAACTGTGACCGCCATACTTGGAGTTCCTTAATGGAAGCCTAGGAAAAATAAATAACCTAAAATAAAACAAAAAGAATCACTCGCTAACTTTTAACAGTGAGATGCAGACCTTAGAGGAACTTACAAAGGATCCCTCCAGCTGGAAAGTTGCACTCTGGGATGTCACATTGAAGGGAGGGAGAGGAGGTCTTACGCACACTGAATGACTGTGAGTCTGTAGAGGAAATGGGAAGAACACATTCATCTATGTCTTTAGTCTGTGTTTTCGTTTGAACACAGCAGTATAAACTTTGTTAGTATATGTGATGAAAATAATACCAGAGGCCCCGCAGCAGCTTAAAACATGACGGCTAAGATTAATTTCAACACTGACACCTAAAATAGTATTGGTTTCTCTGTTCTTTCAAAATTCTATGCAGCTACATACTGACAAACTGTATGAGATCATTTATAAAGTAGGATGTAAAATTACAAAACTAGAAGGTAAAATATAAACATCAGAAGAAAAAAGTAAAGAATCAAAATAGAACAGCTTGCCAACTTGCCATGGTTTCTATGACAACAGTGAGGTTTCCTTTCTTGTCAGTCAGGGCTACGTAACTTCCACCTTGTGCCAGATGACCAACAGTCTGCAAGTAGGTCCATCCTGGCTGGGTGAACTGTGTGGTGTGGGCTATAAGAAAAAAAATACAGTGCAAAACTGTAATGTTTATTTATTAAACCATTTCTTATGTACTGAAAATTGGAAAATATCTCCTTAACAGACATACGTGACAGTTAAATGCCTATAACGGTCATTTTGAGAAGGCAGGTCTTATTTTTGATCAGCAATGTCCTTCAATCCCAGCTGATTCTTTAGAGTGCTTCACATCATCAAGTACGTCCTCAACCTCTGCTCTTTCATTTGATTCTGAAGCTTTCCAAATTCCTGATGTTTTTCATGCGTAAAATATCATTGACCCAAAAAAAGGACCCCGGCCTTATGGCCTGGACCTCTTAGTTAGGGTGCTTTCACATCTAACCTGTTTGATTTGGTTAAAATGAACTCAGGTCCATTTACGTGGTTGGTACGGTTTGTTTGGGTTGGTGTGAAGGCTGTCAGTTGAATCCTGATGCAGACCAAACAACCGAACCAAGGCCGTTTGAAAAGGTGGGTCCACTTCATTTGTGGTGTGAAAGAAAATGAACCAACCACAAGACTTTATGATAGCAGATATGTGATTTTAGCAGGATTTCAACAGCTAAACCAATAAAATCCATCTGCTGATGGTGAAATCTGTCTGTGATCTCATAACAGAACCAAAACTATAATGCAACAATTATCAAATGAAATGAAACCCTAAAAAACTGCTGCGCTGGTCATTGCGAAGCCAATCAACCACATTAACTTCATCAGGTTCCAGTTAATTGGAAACAAGCTTATAATACACCACTGCCTAAAACAAAGACTGGCCAATGTCCAATCTCTGTCCTCTCAAAAGTCTCAGAATCAATAGTTGTTATCCACTGGAAATGGCATATTCTCATATAATAATTTAAATGACATGCAATCCTGCTTCCAATCAAAGCATAGCATTTTGAAAGTCACAGATAATTTCAAAGAGGCTGTAGACAACAAACTCACGTGTGTTTCTGTTTACAGACCTTATTAAGGTTTTGATACTGTGGACCATCCACTACTCATTAATGCCTTGCTTAGTGCTGGCATTTGATGCTCAGCGGCATAGTGGTTCTACAGTTATCTGACTAGCTATTCACAAATCGTTAAACATGGCAATGTCATGTCCGACCCCCAAATCACTCAGCCCTGAGGTATGATGACACTAAGTCAGAACCCATCCCTGTATCTAATATGGCATGGTAGGATGGTCTTCTCTCACTTTGCATAGGTTACAACACTGATATAGCTCTGACACCCTTACACCTTGCATTACAATGCATCCTATATCCAGATTGTATTGAGATGTGATTTAACCTGCTTACATTTGCAACTGGTATTACTGTATCTCTCTAGTGTCCACACTGAGATTTGATTGCCCTGTACAGCTCAAACTACCAAACATAGTCCAAATGGGCCCCAATCCCACCTGTCAACTGTTCTTTATGATAAAAATAAAAAAAAATGTTTTCTTTGTTATATACATCAGAGCCAGTCAGGAAGATTTAGAAGGCAACAGCAAGGTCAAGAGCATAAAACAGGCCTCTCTGGTTGTAAAGACAGTGATTGACAGGAATATAGATTGCAGATGAGGGAGACACCATAGCAGGGTTAGCATCAGATGAGAGAGAAACCAGCACACAGAGGGCCACCCATGTAGTTCTTGTATGTGGATTACAAACACAATTTCATTTACACTTTGGTTCAACATGGCCACAATGTGTCATTGACCACCTCCTGAGGTGGTTTGGCCAATCAGATCACAATCTGCCCTCAGTGCCTTTCGGGTGCATTTACACCTGAACCTTCATGTGATCAAGCACAATCTGATTATAATCAATCAATCAATCAATCAATCAATCAATCTTATTTATAAAGCAGTGTTTCCGCTACATTCATTAATTTAGCAGTGGCGTGTCGCCACTGCTAAATTATTGCCGTCGCTGCTGCTCCTTCAAAACATTTTTGCAAATGCACCACCACTCTGAGACATCTGTGCACTTGCACAGCGCAGCAGCCAGTATAGTGAGGAGAGCAGCGGTGAGGGGAGTGGGGAGTGGGGGAAGGCTCCTGTTTAGGGATGCACCGAATATATTCGGCCAAATATTGCAAAAAAACACACATTCGGTATTCGGTGGAATAAGTGAAAAGCAAGGCCAAATAAAAGCGGGAACTGCCCATTGGTCCGACAGCCCATTGTTCCGACCATATTAAACCCATTGTTGCGAAGTC